ATAAAAAAGATATTTGTGTAATTAAATAAATAAAAGTAAATTTTATTTATTTCTAAGTCAATTATGATTGATTTACTTATTAAAAAGATAACGAAATAATTGAGATGTTGAAAGGAAAGTCGAGATTGGATGAGCAAGACTATTCGTGATTAACGACAAAACCGTTAACCTTTTGTTAATAAGAAAGTCGTTATCCGTTCCAAACAACGACAGTGACGCAGTGTCAATAATTCACATCAGTATATGGAATCACGAGTGAAATGATAATTTGTTGATAATTATTGAGAGGAATAATCTCGCTTAGATTATTTAAGAGAAAAATAAGTATGAATTTATACAAGTAAAAAAAATTTAAAAAAAAAAACTTTTAAAAAAGTGGTAAATAAAATGGGAAGGTTGGTAAGGAATAAAAGGGAGATTGTGTTGAGATAGAGAGGGAGGAGCAGTCGCAAGGGAGGCGCGTAGGGAAGACGGAGAAGGAGAAAGGATGATGTGTCAAACATGCAGAGTAGAAGGGCCCATGTGGGGGAAGAGTGAAGAGGACGAGAGGGAAAAGCGCGTGGAGTAAAGAGAGCTCCCTAATCCCTATAAAGCTATTGACCAATGAGAAGAGGAGAGAGAAAGAGAATGGGAGAGTCAAAGATGTTAGTGTAACGCCTTCCTTTGCACACTGCCACAAAAAACACCATCTTCCTCAACCTTTGCCACCTTCCCTCTTCTTTCTTTGTCCCCATTTGACATTTTCTTTCAAAGTCAACATATTTTATATTTATTATATTCATTTCACTTTTTCTCTCTCTCTACAACGGTCTCAAAACCGTCTATATACTTTCAACCGTCCAAATTTAATTCCCAAAAAATTCTTTAAATTAATAATAAAAAATTAGTTTTAAGAGCATAAGAATTAAAGGAAAAAAAAAAACATAATGATTGTAACCGTTCAAGCTCAAGCTCAAGTCCACTGCTAATATATAATCATCTTTGTTCTGAAACGTGTTTGCTATAGAGAGATTTACACACTCTTATTAAAAGAACATTTTGTTTCCTTCTCCAATATAGGTCTTACACTGATATAGGATGGAGCCGAGAAAATTTTGATATATATATATATAAGAAATAAAATTAATATTTTAAAGTTTTGCCTCACGTTTAATTTAATTGATTGATTTTTTTGTATTAAAATTATAATTATTATTCTTTTAAAAAAGAAAATAATCGGAGTATAATTTAATTGATTTTTTGTATTAAAATTATAGTTTTGGATTCGAAACAAGTTCCGAGACAAAACGACAAAAGACGCATTTTACTAATAAAAAAGAAAAGCAATCATTAAATAAGTTGTGAGTAATAACGGATTAACGGACACGTGACCGTATGATCGGAAACTCGAACCTTTGACAATTTAAGCTATAAAGTTATAGATAACGTAATGCTTTTAGTTATAAAAATAAAAAATAACAAAATGGAAAAAAAAAACACTAATCACTTAATTTACTAAATTTCCAAAATTCAAAAATCATGAATTTAAATATTATTTATTGGCTCAAAACACTAAAAGGATAAAGGATAATACCAAATATTAATATTTTTTTAAAAAGAAAAATTATATTTGGTAATTTTTCTTTTTCTTTTTATTAAAAAAATGATTTATTATTTATTTATTTTTTATTTTTTTGTGTGTATAAATACATAATAAAGAATTAGGGAATTTCAAAAGTCAGTGCTCTTTTTCTTTCATTTCTTCTCTCTCTCTCTCTCTCTCTTTGGCTCTCTGAGCAACAAAAAAAAGTCAGCGCCGTCGTTTCTGCCTCCAATTCTTTCCCCTTTGTCCCTTTTTTTTTTACCAAATTCCCAAATTTTCGTCTTCTTTTGGTTCTTTCTTTTCCAATTTTCAAAAAATTTTAATTTCAATTTTTGTTTAACCTCCATCCATGGCGGCCGGAAACAATGACTGGGATCTCTCCGCCGTCGTCCGGAGCTGCAATTCAGCAGCTTACAGGACAACCCCAACTGCCACCGCCGCCACAGAAACCGACTTGTCGTGTCTCGCTTCTTTAACATTCGACGTCGATCCAAACGACGTCGCATTCTCCTTTCCCGACATACTTCAACCCCAACAACAACAACAACACGACGGCTTCGATGAATTACACCAAGCTATCTGTTTCCTTCCCAACTCCCTCACCGCCGCCGTCACCATCGCGCCGGAATTTCCCACCGCCACCACAAACCGTTACTTTCAAGAGGAAATTACACCCATTCTGCCGCAGCCGGATCCTGTGGAGGCGGCAGAGACGGCGGCGGCACTGCAGAATCAACACCACCACCAAATCCAGCCTTCGTTCCCGCCGGAATTCCCAAATTCGCCAATGGTGCAATCTAACATACCCAAATCGAGAAAAAGGTAAGAAATTTAATTGAATTTTTGGTGTTGATTTATTTTTTTGGGTAATAATTGGGAATTTTTTTTATAATTAAAAAAAAAATTACAGAAAAAATCAACAGAAGAGAACTGTATGCCATGTTACTGCAGATAATCTCTCAACAGACATGTGGGCTTGGCGTAAATATGGGCAAAAGCCCATTAAAGGATCTCCATATCCAAGGTATTTAAATATACATTATTAATAATCATGAAATTAAATTAAATAAATAAATGGTCAAAAATAAAAAAAAATTCTTTTCTATTTTCTGTTTGTTTCTCGGGAAAATTCTTACTTTCTCCTCCCATGATTTGAATTGATGATCACAGAAACTATTACCGTTGCAGCAGCTCAAAAGGGTGTGGGGCCAGAAAGCAAGTTGAACGGAGCAACGCCGATCCCGATTCTTTCATCATCACTTACACCGGCGAACACATTCATCCACGTCCGACTCACCGGAATTGCCTCGCCGGAAGTTTTCGGAACAGGCCACTCTCCTCCGTCACCAACAAAAACCCCACTGGAGATCCCAATCCATCTCTGATCACCACTGCTCTGGTGGGCTCTGGTTCTTCACCGGCTGATTCTCCGATGACGCCGTTCAACGATGACTATGGCGGAGGAGACGAGAAAGAGGGAGAGATGTTTGAGGATATGGCGATCGATAGCGATGACGATTACGACGATATTCTGATTCCAAACTTGATGGTGAGAGATGAAATCTTTGCTGGGTTTGATGAGATTCGGAGGCGGCGACCACCATAACTCCGGCGACCGTGGCGGCGGGTTGAATTGAAATAATACTTTTCTTAATCACAGAATGACTTTAGTCATGTAATATGTAATTAGACTTGGTTAAAGTAAGGTAATTTTGCAAGTTTTTGTTAATTCAAAATTTACATTTAAGGGGTGTCTGTTCTGATCAGACACTTGTCAAATATGAATAGACACCTGTCATAATCATCATGCATTCAAATAAGTCGAATATTCCCTGAAATTTCAAGTTTTTCAAAACACTAAATCTAAAATCACTAAATCTAAACTAATAAAAAAAAGACCAAAGTTAATCTAAACTAATAGAAATGACTCAACTTAATCTAAACTAATAGAAAGGACCAAAGTTATAATTTACCGTGGATACGATGAATTGAAATAATTCTTTTTTTAATCATGGCATGTTAGTCATGTAGTCATGTGGTTAGACTAAGTAATTTGGTAAGTTTTTGCTAATTCAAAATTTATATTTAAGGAATGTCTGTCACATTTAGATATGATGAGACACCTCTCAGAATTAAAGAAAATTATCATGTACTGTAATATAATAAGTCAAATTAAGAATATTTGAAAAGAAAAAGAAATCTTAACCCATTTCGAATCACAATCTAAACTAATATAAAGGAACAAAAAAAAATGAATGTTCATATTTTCTATATTCTATTTTTATGATATCGTGTTCTAATATATATACCAATACTTAATTTGAGTAAATAACATTTGTAGTTTGAGATATTAAAACACTTGCCAACTAAATTAAATTGAACTATACTTCATACTTGTGTTTCATCCAAATTAAATACATTTACAAAATAAGATCGAAGTATTGATTATCCTCCTAGTAATCCATATGGTTAACTCCAATAATAAAAAGTTAACTTAGTCATTGATAAATGACACGATACATTAAAGAAGTTAAGGGGAGGGGGAATGAATTCAATTTCTGTTGATTTTCTACTCAGAATTTATTATTTTATCTTTGTTGGTTATCTGTTAAAAACTTATTATTTTGCAGAGTTTTTAATGCTCAAATGTTATAAGAAAACTCAAATATTATAAGATATTGAGTCAATCTACCTATAATACAATCTAAACTGGGGTTTTAATACAATCTAAACGGGGGTTTTAATACAATCTAAACTGGGGTTTGTACAGAATGGGTGGGAACCAAAAGGACTTTTTATATGTATATGTATTAACGAAAGATGCTCTTTATGTCACACAAGTCTTTTTAAGTATGATTTTTATTTTTATTTTTCTTAATATTATTATACTATTATTGGTCAAACATATTATATTTCAAGTTGTTTCAAAATTGAAACATTGTCAGAATCAAGTTGTCAACTTGGATTATATCTATTTATAACTCTTAATTAGTGTATAGTTAGGAAGTATCATTTATAGACAAATTTTAATTAATTAGTTTTAGAGTAAAAAATATATATATATCTATAGGAATAATAATTGATATTTTATCTATTACACTATACACTTAAAAAAGAGAGCAAAACGAGTAAAACTTGAATAGAGCAAAGCGAGTTGAACTTCAATAATATATTGCGAAATCTATTCGAGGTAATAGTAGCTTTGCATCTTAGGAATTGGAGTATGGTTTCCTTGTGCCAAGAAAACTTGTGGGAAAGCATGAAACAATAGATAATGATGAAGAGGCAACATATTCTGTAATATCTTTCTAAACAAAGAAATATATAAATTTATAAACTTAATTTTCAAAAATCAAATGATTGTCGAACAACCCAAGTTGCTACACCTAGCCAACAATCTAGGTTCAAAAGTCTTCCCTAAAATATAAATTAACATCAATATAAGATGAAGTTAATGTGTTAAGTTTAAAATTAATGGCCCTAAGATAACAAGAAGTGCATCCCACAACCAACAATGGCTTCACCACACCACATCACCAATGACTAATAAATATTGGAAAATGGACAGCATTCTTAACTCAAGTTTTTTGTCTCATTAATTTGTCTATGAATTAAATATAAATATATAAGAAGAAACTATCACCAAAAGCTAAAGCATGGTTGAACAAAACTACTCAAGTCAACACTCCTCTTCGACAACGGTTCCTTTTTCGCTGACATAAATACCATCAAGGAACTTCCGGATATCTTTGTTCTTCACATGGCATTTCTGTCACCCAGAAGAAAAGAAAAAATTTATGTATAGAACCAACAATGCCTAGGCACATGTTTTGCGAGCAATAATCAATCAAAAGAGGCATGGGTGAGAATGAGACCTGGTTTATCAAGGCAGCAGACCGAGATACAAGCTCAATATCGTTACCATCCAAGACCAACTCATCCTTAACCTTCTCAGATCGAACAATAGATACTCCGTCAAGCATGTCTACTCTTCGCACCTATTGCACAAAGAAAATGAAAACATCAGATTGCATCATACAATAGCCGAATCTGGGATAATAGAAGATATATGCAGGAAGAAACTAAGCTACGGAAACTAATGATTGATATAAATCCTCTCAAAAAGCAGTATATGTATTTTTACACAGAATAATTAAATTAATTAAAGAGGGTTTTTCCCGTAGTTCTGTTTAGATACTCCTTTGAATATTATTATACTTGGGACTTTGGATCAAATAACCAAAGGACTGTATTCAATGTGATCTACATCCTTTCAATACACTTGAACAACACTTTCTCGCTCATTTTCTCCTCAACAATCTGTCATCTTTCCCTCTCAGCATCTCCTCCTTATTGCTCTTGACATCCATCTCAACTTCCCTGTTCCCAAGTTTTTTTTATAGAACACAGTTTTCAATTTATAATTACTTAGAATTTTCCAAGTAGTCCTGATCCAGAACGGGTCGTCCAACCCATCTGCTGCTAGCCAATTTATTATTTAGCATTTTCCAAGTAGTCGTGAGTTGTAAGGCCTCATTTTATATTGTATTGGTTTCTATCTCCATGGCTATAGGGTGACTTATGTTTAAGCTGAAGGTTATTGGCTTGTTTAGTTCTCTAATCTAGCAATTGGGTTGTGGATTTTTCTTGTATATAGAAATTTGAGTTGCTGGCTCCTGGTTGCTTCAAGCTTCTTTGTAATATTTTTCATTACTATTAATGGTGCCTTATTTATTTACACTCTTAAAAAAAAATCGACGAAAAAATGTCCCTGTAATAGATTTCATCAAAGAAATTTTTTTACATAATGATATAGTTAAAGACTATTTAAAAGGATTCTCAGAAACGAAGCTAACCTATATCCCTGATGAAGAATCATGAAATCATGTAAAGACAATCTAAAACGAAAAACTAATCTGTTCCTAGAAAATAAATAAATATATACTTACTGAAATTTTATCTTAATACTCAACAAATCACAAACGATTAAGCCTTGATCATTCGACATTCAATTAGCGTAAAATGAAAACGCAGTAATAAATATGAATCCAGAATCCAGAATAACATCCAGGTAGTGCAATTTATGGAAAAAGCGCGAGAGAGAGAAAGAGAGTTATACCTTCTTCTCGCCAAGAAAGTTACGGATCTCGATGGACTTGTTGGTATTGGTGATGCTAGCATTGATCGGAAAGTGAGCATAGACAAATCGCATCTTGTAACGATACCCCTTGGTAACACCAGTGATGAGATTCTCAACATGGCTAAGGGCAGTGCGAATGGCAGCAGAAGTTTTCCTGGAGCCAAACCAGGCATCGATCTTGAGCTTCTTTTTTCCGGTTTCCTCTTCGGTGATCAACTGGAAATCCAGATTCAGATGCTTGAAATTACGAATAAGTTTCCCCCGAGGGCCTTCGACCTCGATGATTTTGGCGTTCACTTTGATCTTCACCCCGTCGGGGATATCCATGGTTTCCGATGAGAGGATCGTCTTCATCTCTTCCTAATGCAACCTTCTCCTCTCTTTCCCTGGAGCTGGAACGGTGAAGGCGACGGCCGAAGACGAACAAAACCCCAATTTAAGGAAATGGCGCAGATTTATAGTTGAAATTCTTCGACTGTGTTTTGGGGTATTAGAAAGAGAGATTAGGGTTTTTCTTATTCTTGGCAGGCCCATATGTCTATCACCCACCTTGGGCCTCCAAGAAAATTAAAATGGGCCTAAAATTGAACTTCGGCCCACTTTCTCGAACAAATCTAATTTGCCAGGAATTATTAAAAAAAAAAAAAACTTTAATAATTTATAAGACACAACAAAAAAAAATAAAATAAAAATCTATTATAGTATATATATACATATTTATATTAATTTAATAATATCTATCCATGGTTTAGAGATCTATTAATGTTCTTTCGGTCTTTAAAAATGTTCTCCCCAAAATAATTCGTAGATCATGGTCTCTTTCATAATCTAAATGATAAAATTTGCTAGAAATATGAATTTATCCACTTAAAATTAAAATATTTTAAATTTTTACTTCTAAATAAGTGATGGACGTATCAGTTAGTTAGTTGGATGGTGATTGTAGTTGATCTTTGTGGGAAAGGAGGTGTTGACATGTACGTTCAACTCTCCTCTTGGCTACTGTTCGTTACTGGCGCTTTTGGAGACTGTTTCACTTCTGTATACATTATTTCTTACTCTCTCTTTTTGGTGTTTCGGGGTTTACTAGCAGCTTCCCAAGAAGTCTATTTCGTAGCTCAGTTGCTAATTGGTCTATTTGAACTTCCAGATTTTGTGACGATGCTTTCTAACTATTTGATTAATTGTAATCCAAAATAAGGTAAAATTACAAAAGTTTATGCTTAAATTAAACCAATATCATACCACCACGTGGATATTAACATGAAACCGAAGAACAATCACATTTATCACGAATATGAAATCTTGTATATTTCTTCGTAAAATATATATATATAAAAAAAAAAAAAAAGGTTCGAAAACAATCCTTCATATATCTAATGGATTCAAGAGATAACACAAGCATTTGGATTGTATTGTTCTTGACATGAATAATAATAATGAGGCGTGGGGTAAGACTGCAAGGCAGTGTAAGCCTTAGCCCAATCAATCGGCTCAATTTTGGGTGTCGGCGGATCTTGTTTCTTCGGCTCTACTTTCTTCGGTTCTTCTTTCTCTGGCCCAACGCTGATAATGTAAGCGGAGGGCCAAATCTTTCTTACCTTCTTAACAATCTCAATCGGGTCGGCGGTTCCAATCACTGTAATTTTGTTCTCCTTCGCGTCGGTCGCCATCGACACAATGCCTGCAAGTTTTAGCCAAACCCCACATGAGTATATCAACCATATATGAAAGAACAAGCTTGTTTCTACTATGTTGAGTACCTGAAAGCCCAGAAACCGCACTCAAAACCTTCTTCTTTGTCTTTGAATCGCTTATTTCCACTTTGAGCACCACTTTCTGTGGATTAAAAAGTGACCCATAAATTGTTAGTACTTGAAAAAGCTTGGAAAAGAAGAAATGGAAGATGGGAAATGAATTGATTCTTTGTTCTTACCGCCATTTTTGTTGTTGGGAAAGCTTAGAATGAGAGATAATGAAGTGTTTGAAGGAAGAAGATGGAGGATGGAGAGAGAGGTAGGGAGAGGATTTGATTTATAAAGAAGAGTTTCTCTTCGTAGAAAATGGATTGAAATTACTAGGTGGGAATCATGAACGTGTATAAACGACTAAAATTAAATTGAGAATCTTTTCAAATCAAAAAAGAATCTAACAACTTCTTTTGTGCGCACCTAACCTAGTTAAGACTAGAGAATGTCAGTAATAGCCACTCTTTTGGACGTTAGCCGATAGTCTCTTTAGAGCTTCCCTTCACACTGTTTTGGGTGTTAGTCGATAGTCTATTTCGAGCTTCACTTCAAGTTTTTTAAAACATGTTTGTTACGGAGAGGTTTCCACACCCTAGTAAACAATGTTTTGTTCTCTTCTACAACTTATGTGAGATCTCACAATTCACCCCACTTTGGGGGCTAGCGTTCTCACTGACACTCTTTCCTCTCTCCAATTGATATGAGATCTCACAATCCACCCCCTTTGGGGCCTAGCGTCATCGCTGACACTCGTTCCTCTCTTCGGTGCTTACTGTCTTCATTGGCATACAGCTCAGTGTTTGGCTCTGATAGTATTGTCATCTTTGGGCTTTCTCTTTCACGTTTTCCCTCAAGGTTTTTAAAATGCAACTACTTCGGTGAGGTTTCCACAGTCTTGTAAAGAATGTTTTTTTTTTCCTGTCTCCAACTGACGTGGGATCTCACGATATGATTTATTGATGTATCATGCTTTCGTGTACGTAATTCTCGTGTTCATAATGTTATGATCATGTTTATGATTTTACTAAAAGTTGGGTCGTTATGATGACCCATCAATATAATCGTTCACATCGACCTCATTATAATTTTTCTAAATAATTCATGAAAAAAATTAGAATAAAGATTAAAAAAAAAGGTTTAATAGTTTAATCTGGATTAAGAAAGTAAAAAAATAATAAAAGAAAGTGGGATCGGGAAATTTAAATTAACTCTAACAAAATAAAATAAAAAAGTTTATAGATTGATAAATGAATGTGAATTGGGATCCAACCGCGTTTACACGTGTTCGTTGTCCCCTTGAGCCCTTTTTAAAAATTTAATTAAATAGAAGGTTCGATGACTTTGACGTTGACTTGACTTTTCAATTAAAAAAACACGACTTGAAGCAAGTTGACCTATAAAGTTGATTGGGTGGAGGATTTTATTTATTTATTTTTGGATCGCTAATTGGAACACGGATGGAAAGGAGAAAGTTCACTTTTTTTTGGAGTAAAGATTTAAAAATTATTCTCGACCAGATATAATTGAGGTCGAGATGGTTAGTGGGTGTCATCGATTAGGTTATTTTTGTTCAAAACTCTAAAGTTTAGAGAGACCATGCTCGTGATTTTGAATGACACCAATCTCCTTTTTAAAAGTTGTTCAACCGTGTTCTTTTGGATAAGTGACTAGCGGGGGAGCATTATTTCAATAATTTAAAAAAAAGTTGGGTTCCTGAGAATTAATTGAAAATTTGAAGTAGTTCACACGGCTATTCACATGCTAGAAGAATATTTTATTAATAGGTAGGAAAAATTCAACAAACGATCCTAAGACTAGTAGTTAGCCACGTGAAGAGGTTATGGATAATCAATGACCTAACACATGAAAACTATAGCATAAAATTCAAATAATTTAATGGGTGTTAAAATTATAAAGGGCATTGTATGAAAAAAATTGTTATACATATTTAACTAATTTAAATTTCATTTCAATAATAAATATTTTTTATTTTAATATTTAATCTATATAAATGATATTTTTATCTAATATATTAAATATTAATTTCAACTATACACTTTCTAATTTATATTAATATTTTTAAATAAACTTCTCTGCACATGGCCCACGCATGCACACACGGGCCCACTAAGTAGGCTTGTGTACCCGTTAGACCTAGCTTATTGGGTTAGCACTCACTAACGGGTTAACACCATAGAGAGAAAGATCTCGCATAACATCATAGCGAACCTAAATGTCGTAAGGTACATGTCTGTACTAATCATAACGAGGAAGTGTCCTAATGTATATGACACACAAAAAATGCATGATATCCCCATAGCTTAAAACCATACCCTAGAATTATGTTGCAAGTCAAATCTCCTTTCATTTATAATATATGAGTCCGTAAATTATGCATATATAATTCTTGTCAAATCTTTCATGCATAACATGGGCTATGGAAGTTTATGCATCATAGATTATCAACATCATATCATATTACTAAACATGACATAACAAAGTACAACATATCATGACAATCATAATATGACACATGCAAGAGACAACGAGACACTTACTTGGTTGGGTTAAGTTAGAGTCACTAAATAATCCTAAAGTTGGTTTGAACCTGCTCCTCGAAGTCCAATTTCACCTATATAGACCCACGTCATTGAGGTAGGCACAATATACGATCCAATTCATCCGTCACGATCACCTTTTACACTCTTGGCTCAAAAAATAGCTTAAATCGACTAAAATAGTTATCATACTAACCTCAATTGCTTCGGAAAACATCGAATAATGTAAGGAAAAGGTCTCGAAACTTCAAATAGATCAAATACGAGCCAAATATGGCATCTAAGCCGAATTGAAGTCGTTGAACGCGCCGAGCCGAGCAAATATGCCATCAATGGCGCGCGGGTTAGAATTAGGATTGGGTCAGGTTTGCGGGTCAGCTATGGAGGAGGAGTGCGCGTAGGTCAGAGCCGAGTCCTGGCGCGCGTGCTGGATGTCACGGTCATGCTTGTCCAGGGCATGTTGCCCATGGCCGCATGCCCATGACAAGCCAAACCCTTGTCATGTCTTTTCATTCTAGTGTTTTTCCTTTTGTAATTCTAAAGCGTATGACACCTCAAAAATATCATGTCTACGCCTGCCAGAACTAAAATGGCCCAGAATGTACTATAGGGGGATATGACTAGTCGTCAACTTCTCCCTACCCAAGGTTATATATGCTAAGCCGTTGTTATCTTTCTCTTGCTTGCTTATATAACGTCTCTTTCTAAAATCTCTCTTTCTCAAATCTCTCTCTCCTCGTTTTCTAAAACCTTCTTTTAAAACCGAGGCTAGAGGCTTGACCGTACGTCGCTTGGCCGTAGGCGACGCAAGAACAAATAGGCTCAACTCACTTGTCGCTGGAAAGTGAGTGCCGCACAATCGCTAGTCCGCTGCCTTCGAAAGCGCGATTGTGTCAAGTGGTATCAGAGCTTTGTTAGCTCCGTAACGTCATATAGACCGAGATCATGTCGACGACAAAGTCGACACCCAAAGCACAAGCCGACCGGCTTACGCTAATAGAGGAGGAAATGCTGTTCCTCAAAGAAGTCCCTGACACCCTCCGTTTCCTGGAAACACGGGTGACCGAACTGAGTGAGAAAGTCGTCCAAGTCGACGCAATGGGCAACCGCCTGGATGGGTTGCCAATCGCAGAACTATTGTTTCGA